ACAGAATCTAATCTCAATTTTCCCAGAAAATACAGAACCCCAATCCCACCTTTTTTCCCCAAGCTAAGAAATCAAACCCCATTTATTTTTCCCCAAAGTGCAAAATCCCTTCCCACTTTTCTTCCAAAACACAAAACACAACCTCACTTTCCATCCCAGATAAGGAACCCAACCCCACTTATTTTCCAAGATAAGTAACCCAACCCCACTTTTCTCCCCCCCCCCCCCCTGCAGGAGACCAACGTCCTCGGCTTCAAAGGACCGAGGAAGATGACTGTAGTGCTGCCGGGGATGACTGCGGATCACCAGAGAGTAGAGTTTAGGGCCAGTGGAGAACACGACAGTCTCATTGGTAAGGTCTTTTGTGGCTTTCGTTTGGTGTATTTTGGGAAGCTTCGTTACATATATTTTCTTTTCTTCCTTTCTTTCTTTCTTTTTTTGTTTTTTTTTCTTTTGTTTTTCTTTTGTTTTTTGTTTTTCTTTCCTTCTTGTTTATTTTATTTCCTTTTCTTTTTTTCTTTCCTTCTTTTTTATTTTTTCTTTTTCTTCTTTTTTATTTTTTTTCATTTTTTTTCTTTTTTTTTCTTCTTTCTTCTTTTTCTTTTCTCTCTCTTTCTTCTTTCTTTTTTTACTTTTTCTTTTTTTACTTTTTATTTTTTTTTTATTCTTTCTTCTTTTTCTTTCCTTCTTTCCTTCTTTCTTCTTTTTCTTTTTTTTCTTAAACACCTTTTTGTTTACTATAATGTTCCGTATTTTTCTTTTAAATAATCAACCATTTTTTTCCATTAATTAGCTTGTTTTTTTTCTCGCCATTTAATCGCTTTATCTTCTTTCTGTAATGAACTACTTTCATACTCTACTATTTTTAATCTCTAATTAACGATATTATCTTCATTTTTTTAATATAAACCAACTTTTCGCTTTAATTAACCATCATTTTATTTTTTTGTTATCCGTTTTTTTTTTCTTTCTTTCTTTCTTTCTTTCTTTCTTTAATCAGCCATCTTGCATTCTCAAAATAATCCATAATTAATCCTTTCCTCTAATCACTCAGTCTCTTTCTATATCCTCAATCATCATTTTTTTCTTTCTTTCTTTCCTTTAATCAATATTTTTTTTCCATCTCTGAATGACTATCTTGATTCGATGGAAGAGTAGAATTAAGGACCAACTCACCAAATTGTGCAACATGACATTTCAGTCTGCAATTCTTTCTCTCACTCTTCCTTTTCTCTGTCTCCCACTCTCGTCTTTCTTTCTTTCTCTCTCTCTCTCTTTCTCTCTCTCTCTCTCTCTCTCTCTCTCTCTCTCTCTCTCTCTCTCTCTCTCTCTCTCTCTCTCTCTCGCACTCTGTCTTTCTCTCTCTCTCTCTCTCTCTCTCTCTCTCTCTCTCTCTCTCTCTCTCTCTCTCTCTCTCTCTCTCTCTCTCTCTCTCTCTCTCTCGCACTCTGTCTTTCTCTCTCTCTCTCTCTCTCTCTCTCTCTCTCTCTCTCTCTCTCTCTCTCTCTCTCTCTCTCTCTCTCTCTCTCTCTCTCTCGTATTATCCATCATTTCTTATTAATTAACCACTTCACCAGTTCGTCGAATTCAGCAACAGAAAAAATATCCACTTTTTCGTTTTAAGCAACTATCATTAAATCTTTTTTTATTTAATTAAATTGACCATTCATTACTCTCACATTCTCACTAATCAACCACTAATTACCCTCCGCAGGCCGCTGGAAGAGTAAAAATAATGGACCAGCTCAATTTTTCTCTTCATTAATCACTTCATTCCTCGTACGAACCATCGTTTTCTCTAATTAATCATCAGTTTTCATTACGTAACCCTTAATTACCCTCCATAATTATCTCCCTATTTAACCATTAACTACCCTCGCCTTCTCACTCGTTAACTCTATAATCCCCCTCAAACAGACCGCTAGAATAGTAAAAAAATATATATATATGTTCCAGCAGCATTCCAACCTACCCCAACCCTCCTTTTATTTTCTCTCGTCAACAGTTAACTCAAATTAACCATTAACTCCCTATTTAACCATTAACTACCCTCGCCTTCTCACTCATTAACCCCTCAATTCCCCTTTCCCACAGACCGCTGGAAGAGTAAAAATATGGACCAGCTCATCGAACTGTGCAACAAGACCCCTGTCTGGAACGACGACACCCAGAGTTACGTCCTCAATTTCCACGGGCGCGTCACTCAGGCCTCCGTCAAAAATTTCCAGATTGTCCATGAGAGTGATGGTGGGTATTTTATATATCTATTTTTTTATTATTGTTATTATTACTGTTTTCTTTTTTTATTTATCTTTTATTTTTATTTATTTGTTTGTTATATTGGTTGTTATATATTGTGTGTGTTAAGCATCATTTGGAATCGTTTTAGTTCAATGTCTTATTGCGAAAAAAAATATATATATCAAATTTCATTGATGGAAAGTGATAATGATGTTAGTGATAATGCAAAGTGAAGATAATGAGAAAAATGATGATCATAATGACAATAATATCAATGACACCGGGAGTGACTATGATAACGTATCGATATATAAATCCAAGAAATCTACATCTCATAGACTTTTCAACATACTTTTTTTTAATAGACTTTTTTCTTTCTTTCTTTGTCGCTAATCCCTTTTTTCCCTCTCTCCCTCTCTCCTTTATTACAGTGGAGTATATCATCATGCAGTTCGGACGCGTGGCTGAGGATGTATTCACGATGGACTATCGATACCCCATGTGTGCTCTCCAGGCATTTGGCATAGCACTGTCTTCGTTCGATTCGAAGTTAGCATGTGAATAATAGAAAACTTTGTAATCTTAGACATTCCTTTTTTTTTGTTTTTTGTTTGTTTTTGTTGTTTTTTGTTGTTGTTTTTTTTTCTTCTTTATTTATTTCGTCGGGGGGAGGACTATGTGACGGTGAAAAGTGTGTTCTGTGTTAGTTTTGTGAAGAGGGCAGTTGATGCTGTTTTGGAAGGGATGACCAAGCTGCCAACTAACTGTAATATTTCATGCTATCAGATCGCTAAACAGGACAGTACTGTGATGCCTTAAACATTGGTCTTTTTGCCTGTATACTAAGATGTCTGTGTGATGACTCTTCAATTGTCACTAAATAGTACCAATTACCTTTCTGTTTCTGTCGCAGGATTTTGTTTCTCGTTTTATAACTGTTGTGGGATTTAAGAAAAACATTTTTTTTATATATAATTGTTGTAGTTTTTTTTATATCTGTGGCTGTTGTAGATATTGTTTTTTTTTTATTTTATTATTATTATTTTTTTAAGACCCAAGTATGCATCCTTGCAAGCAGTTTTGTTGCAAGATAATCGTGGCATTCATATCTTTCCTTTTTTTTCTTTCTCTCTTATATTTTAAACTGTAGACCCCACTTTGCTGTACAACTTTAAGACAGAAAACTGTAAAAAATAATGCACAATTATATAATTTCCATCTACAAGGTATGGTTCCTATTTTTATATGTGATTCTTTTATATACTTTCTGTTTGATTTAATGGGAACAGAGTGAGGTATTATGAAATATGTATATTAGTTATATGTCACTCATGGAGTTATAATTCTTGATAACATAACTTTAAACTTATTAATAATAGATTAATATTTTTATTGTTACTTATAAAGAGATTGAGTAATCTTTTATCGTTAAGGATACTGATCTACAAATATCTGTCTGATAATGAAGTTTCATTGTTTGTAATCTTAAGTTTTATATATTTTTTGAGATTGCTAACTGTATAAGTTTTTTTCTTATAATAAACTAATAATTTTATAGGATATTAAACGTTGAAAAGGGACCTTATTTCTCTCAGTGTACGAAATCTGTCGGGTCTCCATCACTAAGAAAAGGAATGAATAAATATATGAATAAATATATATGAATAAATATATATAGCAGCACTCATTGGTAATTCCGTAATTGCAATTTGTAAGATCTGCCCCTTGCACTAGTTAATATGACGTTTCATAATCAAATGGACTTAAAGAAATGCAGCTGTGTAAAAGTAGTTTAGAGAGAGACGTGGGGAATAAAAAAGAAGTATTTTAAGGAATTCACTGGATTAATTGATGTGAAAATGACATGTGGTTGATGTTGTGGATAAAATAATAAAACCTCTGTGTTTAAAGGCTACGAGTAATTATATTCTGTAGATATTGTATTTCTTTCTTTTCTTTTTTTGGACATTAGAGGTTCATTGCAGATTTTGAATCAGTGGCTCTGATTGGTTCATAGGCAGATTGTGTCAGCAAATGTGATTGGTCAGAAGCTTTTATCCAAACATCATTGTAACGTGTTGAACCTTCCAGCCAATCAGAGACTGGGCTTTTCAAATTAGCCCCAGCCAATCAGAAACTGGTCTTTCAAACCGCCAGCCAATGAGTGATGTTTCAAACCGCCAGCCAATCGGAAATTGATCTTTTAAAACCATCAATCAATGAGGAGTGAGGTTTTTCAAGCCTTTGGCCAATTAGCAGCGCTGATTCAAGGGAACTTTCTAAACTTCTAATGTTATTCTGTCAAGGAATGAACTAGAAAGTTTGTTTGTTTGTTTTTTGTTTTTTTATTGAAAAAGAGATCTTGCAAGTAGATGATAATTTTTTAACTGCTGTCACACTTTTCCTAAAAATCACAATATCATGAAGAGCATTTTTTTGTTTGTTTGTTTGTTTGTCTGGCTTCTGGAGTTTCGGCTCTAACATCGAATAATGAAGATTTCTCGTTTCTAGATTTTTTTTTTTTTTCTACTTTTAAGAATTAAGATCTCTTCTCAAGCAATTTTTTGACATGTAAATGACTAATTTATACAGGTATATATTGTATAAAGTTTATTCTGAATAGATGATCATAACTTTGGTTAATTGCTCTAACTCGGTCAAGATTTTACAACTTAATAATTAACCCATTTATTAAAACACACTTCATGATTTTCTATCCAATACAGAATTCGAGAAATATTTCCTCATTTTGTTTGTTTTTTGTTTGTTTTTATTTGTTTTTGGCTCCATCTTGAGTCCCTCCAGTGATTTCAAGGACAAGTGTGACACGTTTTTGGGTGTCCTTTTGTGTATGATTTTTTGATGGTGCTAAAAACAGTGTAAAAATGAAAGAAGAAAAGAAAAAAAAGAAGAAAAAAAAGACATTTCTACTGTAAACGATTGTAGATCTGGTACCGTTATTCTGTGACCTTGTATTTTTGTAACAAAGATCTGCTTAGAGGAAGTGAATAAAGTTCATCTAGAGATCGTAGAGCAGACCAGTGTAGAGGATGCGTGGTTATATATATTGTTTTTTTTTTTTACACTTTTCCTAAAAATCACAATATCATGAAGAGCATTTTTTTGTTTGTTTGTTTGTCTGGCTTCTGGAGTTTCGGCTCTAACATCGAATAATGAAGATTTCTCGTTTCTAGATTTTTTTTTTTTTTCTACTTTTAAGAATTAAGATCTCTTCTCAAGCAATTTTTTGACATGTAAATGACTAATTTATACAGGTATATATTGTATAAAGTTTATTCTGAATAGATGATCATAACTTTGGTTAATTGCTCTAACTCGGTCAAGATTTTACAACTTAATAATTAACCCATTTATTAAAACACACTTCATGATTTTCTATCCAATACAGAATTCGAGAAATATTTCCTCATTTTGTTTGTTTTTTGTTTTTTTATTGAAAAAGAGATCTTGCAAGTAGATGATAATTTTTTAACTGCTGTCACACTTTTCCTAAAAATCACAATATCATGAAGAGCATTTTTTTGTTTGTTTGTTTGTTTTTTGTTTTTTTTTTTTTTTTTTTTTTTTTTTTTTTTGTTTTTTTATTGAAAAAGAGATCTTGCAAGTAGATGATAATTTTTTAACTGCTGTCACACTTTTCCTAAAAATCACAATATCATGAAGAGCATTTTTTTGTTTGTTTTTTGTTTTTTTATTGAAAAAGAGATCTTGCAAGTAGATGATAATTTTTTAACTGCTGTCACACTTTTCCTAAAAATCACAATATCATGAAGAGCATTTTTTTGTTTGTTTGTTTGTTTGTATGCCCGTTTGTTTGTTTTTTGTTTGTTTTTTGTTTTTTTATTGAAAAAGAGATCTTGCAAGTAGATGATAATTTTTTAACTGCTGTCACACTTTTCCTAAAAATCACAATATCATGAAGAGCATTTTTTTGTTTGTTTTTTGTTTTTTTTTTTTTTTTTTTTTTTTTTGTAGGATTTGCATATGAAGATTACCAACGTATGTGTAAGAACTATGCCGTACATGCACTCATACACAATTGGACACGCACACACACACACACAATTGGACACGCGCACACACACTCACACACTCACACTCACACTCACACTCACACTCACATACTCACACACACACACACACACACACACACACACACACACACACACACACACACACACACACACACACACACACACACACACACACACACACACACACACACAAAAGTACTGCCATCGATACTTCATTCTCCATTCCATTCCTGTGTATATACGAAAGTATTTAAACCTGTGAATTTATTTATTTATTTATTTTTTATCTATATATTTTCTTTTTTTCTGGCTTCTTAATCCATTTGAGGTAAAGAATTCAGATTACAGGAAGTGCATAAGGTCCCCCCCTCGGCTAAAATGTCCTCGGATTTCTTTTACTTAATGTAGGAAGACACGGTTGTGGAAGTTTGGATAATTTTGTGGTTTAGTTAATTAAGTGGTTCTTCTGCAGGAGATGACGTGTTGGAAGGAAGGTTAATGCAAAAGGGAATAAAAGTGGATTTGTTAGTTTGTAGAATTCGTTTTTTTTTTTTTTTTTTTTTTTTTGGGGGGGGGGGGGGGGAATTGTAATGCAAAATTTTAGAATCAGAATATTTTCCTGCATTATGTTCCTAAGAATTTCTACAGCTTAGATAGTTATATAGTTTTTCTTTTTATATATATATTTTTTTTTTATGAATTACCGATGCATAACAGAGGTCGGACTGATCGTATTTCCTAAAGATACGGTAACTTTTTAAAAAAATCTTTTTGGTACTTTATAAAGTCATTTTTTCTGTAACAAAAACTGCACAAATATAGTTCGTACACATTGTCAACATGCAAGCAAATTGTTTTTTTTAAGATATAGATTTCATACTGTGTTTCGGGACTGAGTGCCGGAGAGATAACAATTTTTGAAGTATATATGGAAAAAAAAGATTATTTAATATTTTCTTTCTTTCTTTCTTTTCTTTTCTAGATAATTTTCTTCAATATTTCAGTTTTGAAATATGCATGTGTACTATCATGCACACTATACCTCATGCTTTTAAGATATACGTTTTTAATTGATCTTGTTACTTTTAAGTTCAATGGACCAAGTTTTGCTTTTGCATAATATTTGCAACATAATTTTGATATTGTTATTTTTAACCTCATTTAATTTTTAACTTTTGCAATAGTATTATCTTGATTGTTTTCAGTATGTTATTTATTCAGTGTTATGTGTAGTTAGTAATAAGAGATATTTTAATATATCAAGAGTTCTGTGAATTTATGATGGATTAGAGCGAGTGAGTAAGTGAGTGAGTGAGTGAGTGAGTGAGAGTTTCCAATTAAATCTGTTTGCATACATAGACTAGTAAGATAATATCTACTTAGACGAACCACAAAAAATAAAAAATATTATGATTAAAAAAATGTGTCTCATGTCTGTAGCTTTGTAGTTTAAAGGAACCTTTTACACTCGTCTTAAACTCTTGGCTTATTTGAACATTGGCAACAAAGATAACCAGGTTTTGTGAATCACATCTTTAACCATGCATGAATGAGTGTAATCACCATTTTGAAAGTATTGTGCAGAAAGACTGAATGGCCGCCTATTGAATCGCGTAATATTCATTCTATTCCCCGCCCCCCCTCCATTATATTCGCCTCATTTTTAACATAAGGAAGAACTATTTAGACATAGAACAATATCAGAGCTCTCTATTTATCGAATCAGAAAGTATGGAGGAATTTTTATTCTTATTATTCATCGGCGAGTTGTGAATGTGATTGACTGCCCCCCCCCCCTTCCCCCTCCGCCTTACTTATAATGTTATTTTTCTTGTTTTAAGATTATACATGACTTAAGAGTACTGTATACATTGCCTGTGGAATTGGTACTTGAAAACTAAGAATTTGTATTAATAAAGATACAGGAGACTTATTTTCCGTATGCTTACCAATTGAAAAAAGAGAAAAAGAAAGAGAGAGAGAAAATACAATATATAGATTGCAGTGAGATGTGTAATGTTCATCAATTTCTTTCTTTGATTTCTAAATGCAAATAACAAGACTCAATACCATGTTCAGTTCCCTCAAGAA